GCACTCTGAGTCTTGGGTGGTCCGAGCAAATCCCGAACGTAGGCGAGCACCACCTTAGCAACCAGTCCCTCATCGGGGGCATGACCTGGGATGAGTTCATTGTTCCCCAGGCTGGGCCCACCATCCTCGGCCCCGACGGGGCCGCCAGCACGGTGGGCCCCATCCTGATCCCTATGGACTTGCAGGACCAGGTTCGGAGGTGTCTAACATCCTGGAAGGCGGCCAGGCGGCTGCAGCTGATACCAGATGCTAGACCTCGAGACCACGTCCCGATTATCTAGAGGTCACCGCTTACCAGCATAGGGCCCCCCTCGGAGACCACGCATCTGCGTTGGGACCGTGACAGGATTGCGTTAGTTGTACAAGAAGGGTTTAATAGATTCGAATTCCAGGAGGCCTTGGAAAAGGAAGTTTCGGGAGTGTTAAGAGTTAGACCAACAAAATCAAAGCGGAGATCTGGACGCCTACTGGTAATGCTGGACTATGCTAGTTAGAGACCCCGCGCGCACTTATTTTCAAGCCAGGCCTACGGAAGTTCACCCTGAGGTTAGCCGCGCGCGAGCCCGACGGGACGAACTTGCGCGACTACGAGCGGAGGCTCGGGATCAACTTCGGAAGCAGGGCGACGAATATGCAGAGGCATTAAGGTCCAGCTCAATCCAATTTCACGAATACAGCGAACGTCGAGCAATCCGACATGAGCTTCGACGACTCATGCGACAAGAACGAGCCGACCGACGGAGACGAATCGAAATTGAAATTCACTAAATTGCCGGACTCCGTCGATTTGCCGAAATGCATAGTGTTGTTTTTGTGGCTTGCTGAGCGCTGTGGCGGCCCTCGAAAACGCAAATATGGCATCCCGCAGCCACGCTCCGCCTGGAAGGCCCTCCTCAGGATGGCGGAATGAACGCCGTGGCGATCGACTTCGCTGCAGGGTCCGAGCCTTCCCCGACCTCCCTCGACGACCTCCGCTTAGAAGATCTCGTTTGGTGCGAGTATTGGGCAAACAGAGACATGCAACAGACACTGAAGTTCCCAAATCAACGTCCAAAACGTCGCGCCGCCCCCCCCCCCCCTGGAGTTTGCCCTCGGAGGTCTTCCTGGTGGCGGCCGAAGCCAGCTATGTTTCAGAAGCCCTGGGCGTTGAACGCGTAGGTGATACCCCCCCCTCTCTTGCTAGTGAGCATCTTGGAGCTATTCACCGGTGGTCTCGGGTCCTCGAGAGAACCCCGGAGCTCGGGGATTTTTCGTGGGGCTACCCTATGACCAAGCCGCACGGAAAACAGGGGCCTGCTGGGAAACGACGGATTCACGCATGTTGTCCGCGCTGGAAAAGTTGACTTGGAACACTTACTGAGAAGGGGATTGAGGTCGCGGGCCTCGAGTTGGCCTGCAGAGCTCTACTTTAAAAAAGGACGTCGGCGCGAGGACGCCCCCGCCGTCCAGCTGCGCGCGGGCGCTCGCCTTCGCCGCAGGAAACCCAGCCACCTTAACAACTTCCACGACATGTCGAATGCGTTCGCCTCTGCAACCCTGCAATCAAGGCAGCAGGCAGTGCAGGAGCTTGTTTGCGAGCAAGACGTCTAATTTTTTCAGCATGGAGCCGCTCGCGCGGCCATCTTCCTTGGTTCCACGGAAGGAGGGGGGGGGCCGCGGATTGGAGAAAGGGACCTTGTAATACGACGCGGGCGCGGGGGATTGATGGGGCCGAGTGAAGGGCCAGCGGCCTTCGCGAAGATCATGCAACGACCGGTCGAGAGAGACGGAGAAGCGCTCGACCACCGCATCTGAACCTTACTTTGAAGCGTGGCATCTTCGCGAGGGAACTCGACGGAGGCGCTGGTGCGTTCGCTGGCGACGTCACCGATAAGTTACCTGCACCGAGTGGAGAGGCTGGAGAGGCCCACCTTCTTACGAACCAGAACGACGCACACCAAGATGTCGCCCTTCGAGAAGAAGGACTGCTACAAAACATAGGGAAGAGGGACATCGTACCTGGCATCTACATCAAGCAAGCAACAACACGTTTCGGAAACTTGCCTACGGAGGGGAAGGTGTTGGCGAGGGCTCGGTATATTAGAGGTCGTTGCGAGTGGAATCCAGCTACTTGGGAAGAATTTCAATAGAGTGAAAAGCAGATGGGCTAAAATGGGCAAGCGTTGGAGTAGCAAGATATCGAGTCAGCTTGAGATTCTAGCGTTTCAAGGGCATGGTATCGAAGCGGGTTTATCGGCGAATGGGCCTTACGTTTTCACTGCAAAGATGACTGACCATATTGACGGCACCATTGCCAAGTGTTTGCGCATGTTCGAGCCAGGGGAGGCCACCGATTGGACGGGGGCACACGCCGCGAGCCTGCCTCGCGCTGCTCTAAGTGGAAAGTGGAAGGTCATCCCTACTAGGTGCGCGCAGGCCTCCCGCAGGTTCGCCTGGGTCCAAAAGATGGTTCGTGGCCCCGAGGCCCACGCTCAGGTCATCCCAGCTGTTTGGGGATTCCTGGGACATGGCCAAGAGGTGCGACATGATCAAATTCTGCAAGATGGACCGTTGCTGCGACGTCAACAATCGCATGGTCATGCTCAGCCTGCATCCAGAGATCCGCCAGCGCATCACCGACTCCATGGCCTCGACGGGGGCGGAGTGGAAGCAGGGGCGCGCGCCAGTCAGCCACGCGGAGCGCGAGCTGCAGGACTGGCTGGAAGTTTTCACGAAAGAACGACGTCGACTCCTTCACGCTGCTACGCGCCCACTCAGCCACCCGAGTGCGACGCAGACAGATGGCGTGAAGGGCGCAGTGGAAGAGCAGGGAATTGGCGATCGTTTTTTGGTACAGAGCTACGGAGTGACGGAAGCGGACTTTCAACTTCTCGATGGGACCTCGGCACGGGCTTCTCTTGTGGATGCGTGCGTTGCAGCTCCGAGCCCGACCGCGACTGCTCCAAGGCCCCCCCACGACGGCTACGAGACCGCTCTCACCTCCGACTCCGAGGCTGACGGCTTCGGGGCCACCACCGCCGGCGCCGTGACCGACGGCCTCGACGCCTCCCACCTCGACCCCAAGGCCGCTTCGTGCTTCGACATCTGGGCCCCCCCAATCGTCTGAGTGGATTGGTAGACCTTGGGAGGTCCCTGATTCAGCATGCGTTAGAGAATAGTTAAAGAATCGCCAGATCTCCCCCTGGAGCCCCAGCGTTGAGATTTTTTTTTCATCGCGCTCGTCTGTTCGACTTGCGAGGGATGAATTCGAGCGCAGAGTAGACCCTCTCCCCCGTCCTCCGAGTCCTCCTGCGGTCCTGGGGCCGTCGTTCGCCCCCCCTCGTCGCATCGTCCCCCCTACACTTCGCTGGGCCCCGTCTTGGGCAACGCGCGCCCCTGGCGGCCCTCGGGGCGGGACGCTAGCATTCGGCGATGCTCCGCGAGTCCACCTCGCCCCGCTTTCAAGCCCCCTGGGGGATTTTCCTCCGAACCTAGAGTGGATCGTGGTACTTTAGTCGATCAGGGGTTCTTCGGAGCGCCTGTCCTGTCCTGTCCTGCCCCCCCGAACTCCTCCCGTTCTTCCCTTCGGTTCCCCCCCCGCTCTGCCTCTCGCCTCTCCCCGCCCTCCGCGCCCGCCCCCGCCCTTCGCGGCGTCCGCAGCCCCCGATTTCGTGAGGCTTGCGGCAAATAAGCTGGGCCCCCAGACGGAGATCTGGGTCCAAGCGGCAAGGCTTCCGTTGTCTGAGCGACGAGGGGGCTCGGGGACTGGGGGGGAAGAAATCGCTGGCAAATCTGGATTCAGTCCGCCCCGATCCGGCTTGATTTCGGCTTTTTGTCGCTGATCCGATGCGGCCGGCGCTTGCAGACTCTTCGAACTCCGCGCCTTTCTGGCGCAGCCCGATTCGATGCGCGCCCCGATCCGACCCGACCTTTCGGACTCGATGTTGACCGACCTTCGACGCTCGTGATCCTCGGTTCGCGCGGAGGCGCCCAGAGGCCTCCGGGGGCCCCTGCAGCCAGAGGTGGATCGACCGTGCCCCCCACCCTGCCAAGTCGAGTAGCAAGTGGCCCTGTGCTTGGTTGTCGAGAGGGAGTTTGCGGCCGTCTTTTGCGGGGTTTGCGAGCGCCGCGTCTGGTCCCGGGTCGCTCTCACCAAAGAGATGCAGCAGATGCCCAGTCAAACCAAAATGGTTGGCCCGTGAACGGGCGGGGCACGATCTGGAGGAAGTAGTGCGACCTGCGCGCGCGACGTGAAGGTGGCGCAGGACGGGTGGCCGCGGGTTTTTTCTCCGTCCTCCCCCCCTCCATGTCCTCCCCGTCCCCTTCCCTCCCCTTCTTCGCACTGACATTACAGGGTGTTTCGCAAAAAGGGGCTTATATCCACCAGCGACGGATACCTCCAGCACGCAGAGGCCCCCCAAAACGCCAGGCGAGCCCAACACCCCAACACCCAGAGCTCTCCCTGCTGCCCCGCAGGATCGAAGACGCCTACGGCGAATCACCGCCGTCCCCTGCCTTCTGATAGCGCCTGTGCGGCCGGACGTTGTGGCAAAAGATCGGCCACGACATCGGACCGTGTGCCCCCACCCCCCGCTCCAGCCGTCACGGGGGTCCCCTCGGGGAACACTTGGGCGACTTTGTGTTCGCGGCGGCTCCCGGGGGGCAGCAGCCTGCGGCGCAGAGCCAGGCCGCCCCCCGAGGGGGCTGGCCGAACGCCTGGAGGGTGGGTGGGGGCGCGGTTAACTTCCTCCTCCCTTCCTCGTCATCCTTCCTCCTCGTCCTCCTCGTCCTGCCTCGCCGAGGGCCGAGGAGGAGGAGGGAAGGAGGAGGAGGAGGAGGAGGAGGAGGAGGAGGAGGAGGAGGAGGACGAGGAGGAGGAGGAGGAGGAGGAGGAGGAGGAGGAGGAGGAGGAGGAGGAGGAGGAGGAGGAGGAGGAGGAGGACCCCCCCTCGCCCAGGAGGAGGAGCTCTCCTCCTCGCCGAGGAGGAGGAGGAGGAGGAGGTTTCGTCGCCGCCCCGCAGGATCCAGGCGCAGCCCCGCCCGGTCTGCCTCACCTTCGAGTCCGCGCCCGCGCCTGCACCGGCCGTGGAGCCCACTGGCCCTGGTGCGGAGCCCCGCCGCCCTGACCCGCCCCGCCTCGCCGCCGGCGGCGGCGGACGGCGGCGGCGACGTGCGACGGGCACCGGCGGGCGGCCACGGCGGCGGACGGCGGCTGCAGCGGGCGGCGGCGGCGGCGGGCGGCGTGCGGCGGCGCGCGGCGGCACGGCAGCGACGGCGAGCGGCGGCGGCGGGCGGCCGGGTGGCCACGGCCGGGGGCCGGCGGGCGGCGGCGCGTCGGCGGCGGACGGCGGCGGACGGCGGCGGCGGCGGCCGCGGCGGCAGACGCCAAGGAGCCGGCTGCGCCCGCCGCCGCGGCCGCGTCGGGGCCTTCCGAGCCGGCCGCGGGCGCCGCGGCGGCCGCCGAGCGGGCCGCGGCCGCAGAGGCAGGCCTCGGAGGGCTGAGGGCTTTCGCAGGCCTCCAACGCACTGAAAGGATCAAGGCTTACCTCGGGCCTGTCCCTCTACAGGGGGGAATGTTCCAAAATAGTGAAAGAATGGTTTGGGGATTCTATTTGTTGCATATGTTTTGGCCATTGGGGATTATTTTTTTGAGTATTGCTTGGTTCGTCGAAAATCCCCCTGTAGGGGGGCATGCCCGACCCAGATCAAGACGGAGGTTTCTGGCCTACGACAGTGTTTGTGGGTTGATGCTTCGGCCCGGGCGGTACAGGGCCGCACAGTGCAGGATCGGCATTCACTCTTCTCGATTGGGGTTGCGAGTCTTTTTCGCTATCTCTTTTCGCGTGGCTCGTAATGCACAAAACACGCACGCGGTCCAACGGGGGCAGTATCGAAACATGGCTATGCGGATGATGCTGCGGGACATGAACTTTATTTGGTTGTTTTCGGCTTCTGGGGGACATGAGCCTTGTACAGCCATGCGAATAAACTGTTTGTTTCAGTTGATGTTCTCTGTTGTGTGGTTGCGGTCTGCAATCATGCGTCCTCCCTACTCCACTGTCCATTCTCTTCCTCCCCTCACCCTCCCCCTCTTCGTCCCCCACAATTCCAGAGGCACCGCTGACACTGGCGGCCCCCAGCAGTTGTCATGAGGACGTGTTGAAATGTCTCAAACGATTTCGGTAGGTGGCCAGGTCCCCGTGACCCTGGAGTCCGAGCTCCTGGGCTCAAAACGTAGCAAACGAAGGCAGCGCAGGCAGTCCGGAAAGCGTCGACAATGTGGATAGCTTGGATAGTGCAGAGAGAGTGCAGAAAGCTAGATGCAGATAGCGTGGTGAGCGTCGAGAATATTTTGGCCGCCGTAGATAATCGAGGGCATCGAAAGTGTAAGTGTTCTGCAGAGGCAGCGTAGAAGGCGAGGAGAGTGTGTAGTGCGGGGTGGGCGTCAACATTGTTGGAATGCGCTCAGTTAGTGGAAGGGAGCGTGGCACGTATAGGGGGTGTATAGAGTGCGGAAAACGTTGAGCGCGCAGTGGCTGCAGCTTGCAGCATCCGCAGAGGAAGTGTGCAGATGCAGCAGTTTGTAGAGCTAGCGTGTATGAATGAGCGCGGCCAGTGCCACGAGGGAACAGAGTGCAATCACTCCGTTATCGCGGCCTCCCGCCCTTCTTCGTTCCCCTCTACCTCTTCTCCCACCCCGCCTACGTAATGACTCCGCCCTCCCAGCCTCTCCTCATCTTGCTGCTCTCTTCACCTTCCCGCCTCTTCTTCGTCTGTGTTTCTCATCTTCTTGACCCGTCCTGTTGGCCTTGCTCGTTCCTCCTCCTCTTCCTCCGTCACCTCTGACCCGCAGGGTCACGACAACCCACCCCCGCCCCCCGTCAACTTGGAACTGCCCTGCTCCGTTGATGCTCACTCCGTCGCCCGATTCGCAGACGCGCTTTTCCAGAGAGGCTCCGACAACGCTCCACCGGGCGGTGGGGGCCGAGATCTGCATGCGACGACGCTGACGTCCACGACGCTGTCCTCGGCGACGACGACGACAACGACGACCACGACAACGCCGACCACGACGACGACGATCACGACGACGACGATCACGACGACGACGATCACGACGACAACCACGACCACGATCACGACCACGACCACGACCACGACCACGACCACGACGACCCGATGGTGACGGCGACGGTGACCATGCCAGCGGCGGCGACCGTGACGGCGACGGCGACGACGCGTGCGACGGCGACAGCGACGGCGACGACGATGATGACGACGATACCAGCGGCGCCGACGGCGACGGCGGCGAGGACAATGGCGGCGTTCTCGTCGGCCGCGGCGCCGGCGGTTCCCACGTGTGGCCGGCAGGCGGTCGCGGGCAGCCCCGGCGCGGGAGGGGACGCGGACGGGTGGGACGCGGCGCTGGGGTGCGCGGGCGCAGAGGTGGGCGTCCAGGAGGACCCCTCGACGGTCAGAGGGAGGAGTGGGAGGAGGAGGAGCAGGAGGAGGAGGAGGAGGAGGGCGCCAAGGCTTTTTCGAAGTCCGTGGCCGTCTCATATCTGGACTGCCACACCAGAACAGAACAGGAGGCGGAGATGGGACGCGGAGGAGGGAAGGAGTCGGGAGGCGGAGAGGGGGGAGGTCGAAGAGAAACAGGGAGCGCGAGGAGGGAGAGGAGCGTGAGGACAGAGTAGAGCGGACTGGCGCGAGGAGGCTGGGGGGCGGGGGGGGGCGAGGTCGATCAGTGGGGGAGCGGGAGGAGGAGGCGGAGGAGGAGAAGGAGGCGGAGGAGGAGAATGAGGAGGAGAGGAGAGGAGAGGAGAGGAGAGGAGAGGAGAGGAGAGGAGAGGAGAGGAGAGGGGGCGACGAGTTGCACGCCCAGTCGCTGCGAGAAGAGCCGTGCGATTCGCCTGTTCTTGCCATCTCGTCGTAGCGATCATGGTCGTCACGCCCTGACGCCATCGTCGGACACTCACTGCTAGAGAATAAGGTTTGCTGATGCGTGGAAGTGGTCCTGGACTCTCTCGCTTCGACGCCGGCCACCTGTTCTTTGAAAGCGAGGCTCCTGGTCTTGCGCGGCTGCATCCCAAATCCCAGCCCTCGAAGGCCCAGTTGCGACGACAACGGCTCCCACTTAATATTTCCTCACAATTTATTTTGAGATGCCTTGCCGAGAGAGACAGCAAAACCCAGGAACGGCGCTCGCGCTCAACATTTTCGTTTTATTCAGTGAAGCAGGGAGGCTCAAATACGTCGACAACGGCTCCCGATCGATTCTTCCCCGCTATTAACTCCGACGCGCCTTGGCCAGAGACGCCCCTGCTCCCTGGAATGGCGCTATCGTCATATAACTTCTAGTAATCCACTGAGGTTGGCAAAATGCACAACTGCGACGGCACCTGCTCCCACTCGATGAGCCTTCGCGATGTAATCCAAAGCGCTTTGGTCAGATGCCGTCTCGGACTTAGGAATGGTGCATTCACAAGAGGTTTCTTCGCAAGCCTCGCAATTTATTTTCACGCGCTCCAGCCACATGCGTCCTTGCATTCAGGAATGGTTGCCTCGCCCAGGATGTTCTCGCAATGCACTGGGGCTGGTGAAGGCACAACTGCGACGACAACGGCTGTGCGTTTTTGTCTTCTCGCAATTCGCGGTCAGGAGGTTTCGTCTTGCCTTCCCCGCATGCTTTGGCCTTCGACGTTTCTGAACGGCACGCTAACCACGCCCCAGTCCTCAAGCATCAACGTTTCGAGTGTTTCCCGGCCCCCCGTCCCGCGAAGCGAAGCGACGCGTTGTCGGCTTGCACGGCTTGGCGTGTCGCCGGGGTCGCCGCCGCAATACGCAAAGGAACACTTCCTGGCCGTCTCCCCAGCATGTTGGACCCGTTCGCCCGTGGCGGCGCCTGCTCGCGACGCGGCCTGGCTCTGCGACTCGGTTGCCTTCGCTCTCGCCGCTCAGGACCTGCAGAGTTTCACAGGTTGCACTCGGCGTCCCGCAGGCTGTGTCCACAGAGTGTCCACCCTGGCTCGCATGAGGGCCATCGCGGCAAGAAGTGCGTACAGGGCGCATTGCTTGATATTTATCCTTGTACGCGTTTCCAATCCGAGGCAACAGCGTGAAATGGGGGATTCCCCGCTGCAATGTCCTGGCGGAGAACCGCGGGCAACGCGTCCTTCTCCTCCTCCTCCTCCTCCTCTTCCTCCTCCTCCTCCTCCTCCTCCTCCTCCTCCTCCTCCGCATCATCATCATCATCATCATCATCATCATCATCATCAGCAGCATCAGCATCAGCATCAGCATCAGCATCATCATCAGCAGCAGCAGCAACATCAGCATCAGCATCATCATCAGCATCAGCATCAGCATCGGCAACAGCGCCATCATCATCATCATCATCATCATCATCAGCAGCATCATCAGCATCATCATCATCATCGGCCTTCTCTTCCTCCTCTTCCTCCTCCTTCTTATCTTCCAGGCCCCCCATCTTCCTATCGTGCCATTCGGTTTTCTCCTCCACCGCCACGTGCTCCTGCAACCACCTGAAACATGATCACCCCTGCACCCCCATCATCGTCGTCGTCGTCCTCCTACTCCTCCTGGCCGGTATGCCCAACCTCTCTTTTTCCTCTTCCTCTCCCTCCTCCTCCTTCCTCGTGCTTCAGCACCTCCTGCTCCTCGGGCGGTTGCGCCCGCGGACGGGTTGAAATGCGTCGCCTGGTTGCGGTTGCGGTTGCGCCCGCGGGCGGGTTGAAATGTGTTGCTTGGTAGCGGTTGCGGTTGCGCCCGCGGGCAGGTTGAAGCATGTCGCGTGGTTGCGATTGCGGTTGCAGTTGCGCCCGCGGGCGGGCTGAAATTTGTCGTTTGGTTGTGGTTGCGGTTGCGGTTGCGCGGGCGAGCGGGCTGACATGTGTCGCCTGGTAGCGGTTGCGGTTGCGCCCGCGGGCGGGCTGAAATTTGTCGTTTGGTTGAGGTTGCCGTTGCGGTTGCGCCCGCGAGCGGGCTGACATGTGTCGCTTGGAAGCGGTTGCGGTTGCGCCCGCGGGCGGGTTGAAATGTGTCGCTTCGTTGCGGTTGCGCTGGCGCCCGCTGAGGGGTGGACATGTGTCGCCTTGCTGCGGTTGCGGTTGCGGTTGTGCCCGCGGGGGGCTTGACATATGTCGCCGCTTTGTTGCGGTTGCAGTTGCGCCCGCGGGCGGGTTGAAACGTGACGCTTGGTTGTGGTTGCGGTTGCGCCCGCAGGCGAGTTGCAAAGTGTCGCTTGGTTGCGTTTGCGGTTGAGCCCGAGGCGGGCTGAAACGTGTCGCCTGGTTTCGGCTGCGGTTGCGGTTGCGGTTGCGGTTACTCCCGCGGGCGGGTTGAAACTTGCTGGTTGCGGTTGCAGTTGCGTCCGCGGGCGGGTTGAATTTCGTCGCTTGTTTGCGGTTGCGGGTGCGTTTGGGCGATATAATATGTGTTGTCAGTTGTTCTTTTCCAGTTCAATCAGCGCAGTTTAGTTCAGTTCATTCGGTCAGTCAGCGGAGGGCACGTAGTTCCACCCGGCTCCGCCGAAAAACAATGGAGGCATTCCAGGAAGGGCCTCGCCTTCGAGGACCGAAGGAGTTGTCATCTTTTTCTCGGCGGAAGGCGGCGAAAGGGCGGTGGAATCCTGCGGAAGTAAAACGAGGCCGCCTCCGCTGGCGGAAACCAGCGGAAGGCTGGCGGAAGCCAATGGAAGTACACAAGAGGTGGCAACATTTTTGGGTTCAGGTATGCTGGAACTGGCCGCTTAACTATCCTTGCGCATTTCTCCCAACAATTGAATACGCTACCACCGAAAAAACACACACACACACACACCACAAGGGGATGGTGCATAGTTTTAGAGGACTGGTACAAGGGAGACGGGGATACGCGAATGTCATCCCAGGCTTGTCACTCAGATGCTCCGACGGCTGTTCTCGTCGTTGTCGTCGACGTTGCGACCCTATAAGGGGGCAGGGGGTCCCTCCATGCCAGTCGAAAAAAAGCGACGCTTGGCAGTTCTCCAATTTACACGCCAGGGGCTGATTTCGGGCTTTTTCGCGCGACGGGGCCGATTCCGGGTCCCAGGATCCACAAAAAACGACCTGCCGCAAAAGCCAATATTGGGGGTTTAGGCGGGAACAATCACGGCGAGGAGGTCTGGCGACATGGACGTCCAAACGGATTTTTTGTTGGAGATTGTTCCGACGTCGCGACGAGCCATTACTACATCAATGTTTCCGACGTCGTGGTGTCTTTGGGGCGGACCGCTGCGCGGTGTCAAGGTCTGCCCCCTCCTGTTCCTTTCGCTCCCCGCCGTGTTGACATCCTCCCTCGTCCTCCCATGTTCCATCTGTCTGACGCGTGCTTCGCACCCAGATTTAGAGCACTGCTGCGTGCCATCGGTGCTCGCAGGCCTGCTGGGCGCGTCATTATAGTTTTTGTAGGTGCCTGCTACTGCGAGTCTCTCTGTGGGTATTTATTGTTCTCTTCTCTCTTCGTGTTTGCACTGCTTCAGGCACGCTCCCTCCCGCAGCCGAGCGTTTCTTTTGCAATCCATTATGCGCTTGTGTGCGAGGCGGTGGAAGAAGCCATGGCGCTGTACGCACGCCAGCATAGAAGCTCGCTCGTCGCTTTGCTCGTTCGCTCCCTCTTTGCCTCTTCCTTATGTCGTTGTCCCTCTTCTGCTGTCCTATTATGTTTTGTCCTGTCCTATTATGTCACTCGTTTTGACATCCCTTTCATGGCGGGCCCTGCCCTAGTCCCCCCTCCCCATTGCTAGAACCTAGATCGTGGGAAGCTGCCTGTGTGCTGAAGCGTCGTCTTGCAAATCTGGGATCCGTCTGCGCTCGTCGCAGGACGCCGCAAGGGCAAGCCTCGCGCGACCGTCGCGTGGGCGCGGCGCGCTGCTGCAGGCATCGGGGATGTCATGGATGCAGCGCAGCACAGGTGCACGCACTCAGTTGCGCTGCCACGCGTGTGCGCCACCGCGCTGTGTGTGGGGGGGGATCGGGGGCGGTGCGGGGGGGCTGATGATACGGGGGGACCGATGGCGAGGGGAGCCCCGCCTTGCCGTCAGATGTGGAGGGGGAGGGGGGCGTCGGAGAGGGGGGTGAGGTCTAGAGGAGGGGGGGGGAGATATCATTACCGCAGATCTCACGCCCCCTTTCTCCTTCTTTCGGCATGCCCCCCGGCTCCACCTCGCCCGCGCACATGCCTCGGGCCATGATGTGCGGCCCCCCCCACCCGTCTCGGGCGCACCAGAGGGGCTGGGTAGCTTCTCAGGCCCCGCCCTCCCCCCGCGAGAGAGGGGAGCCTGGCTTCTCTCGGGGAACCTCCTGGGGACCGTCTGAGGGCATCTCGCTTGGTGCCCATACGCATTGACCGCATTGGTGATCACGACGGCGTGGGTGCACACAGAAGCCCCCTCAAAGCACTGGCACATCGCCATGCAACATCTTCTGCCCACCCGGCCCTCCTCCCGTGCTGCCATGCGGTGGCCAACAACGGCCTCCGTCTCTTGCTGTGCATCCAGATCCAGGCTTCCTGCCAAGCCCTCCCCCCCCCCCCCGCCGTCCACCTCCCTCCAGGACGGCGACGGGTGGGGCGTGGACATCGAGATGGAGGCGCAGGACTGCTCGCCGAAGGAGGCTGCTGCCGGCGAGGAGGCCGCGGCGGAGACCGCCGCGCCGCGCCGCGACGCCACGCCGACGGCGCAGGCGGCTACCGTTTGCCAGGCTCCAAGTCCGAGCCTCGCACGTTGACCCCCCCAGCCCCCATTGGACCCCCCATTGTCAGAGCCCCGAATCATCAGGGGTAACTCGGGTCAGGGCTAACTCGGGTTCGTTTTTTCGGGAATCCGAACCCGAGTTACCCCGGACCCGAGTTACCCCGGATAACTCGGGCGTCCAGAGCCCCACATCATCAGGGGTAACTCTGGTCAGGGCTAACTCGGGTTCCTTCTTCGGGAATCCAAACCCGAGTTACCCCGGACCCGAGTTACCCCGGATAACTCGGGCGCCCAACATTGGGCTCTGGGGCCTTGGCCGGCCCAGGGCCCTGGCAGTTGCCACCCCGTCACCGTGTGGTCCCCTTGGCCCCGCGGCCTCCAGAACCTCAGCGCCAGTCTTGCAGCTGCCAGGTTGGGGGCCAAGAGCTTCGGATGGACTGCCTCAGAGCTCCAGCGCCCCCTGGCACCTCCTCCTCCCCCGGCATGCCAGGAGGGCGGCTCGACAGAGGGCGCCGCCCCGGTCGAGGACGCGGCGGAAGCCCTCTGTTGTTGCCGCCTGTCCGCGATGGCACGCCGCGGAAGCAAGCGCCGTGTTGTCATCCCCGGGCTTCTCGGGCATACCTCGTGTTGAATGTACAGGATCATGCCCCTGGGGGCACAGTCGGCACGCCGGTCGAGCGGCCAGCCTGCCAGCAGGTGCCCCCCACGACAGTCTATGAGTACTCGATGGCCCTGGGGGCCCGCAGAAGTCCTGGGGCACCGCAGGAAGATCACATACAGTTGTCAAGCGTGCCCCTGGATTTCATACAGCGGAATTATTAATCGCATGTACGTACAACTCGCACATGTTGCCAGCTGGTTTCCAGAGGGCAGGGGTGATCCGCGCCAGAAGGACTCACCCGCACGGTTTGCGCCGCGGCGCGTACTTGTGCAAGGTCTTTTCATTTCTCGTTGGTGTGGGCTGCAGGTTGTGTTGAGAGAAGAAGGGGAATGTGTGCCACATTGTTCGGGCTTCGGCTGCCCCTTGGAGCTCATGCACGCCCGTCGGACTTCGAAGTCGTCCGCCCGTTTGACGCCCTCTCTTAATTCGTCTGCGTGCTTGGCAATTGAAATCCATCCAAATGAATACTCTGCGCAACGAGCACAGGCTCGGCGACGAGCTGCGATCTGTGACCGCTGCTGCTGTGCACCTGTCCCCGGGCTCGCGGACCGGCTACTCCCCCTCCCCGCCGTCCACTCGACCTTTCTCCAGGACGGCGACGGGTGGGACGTGGACATCGAGATGGACACGCAGGACTGCTCGCCGAAGGAGGCAGCTGTCGGCGAGGAGGCCGCGGCGGAGTCCGCCCCGCGCCGCGACGCCACGCCGACGGCGCAGGCCGCTGCCCTTGCTGGGCTCCCCCTCCCAGCCTCTCACGTTGACCCCGCCAGCCCCTGGGTCCCCCCTGGGCCACCGGGCCACTGGACGACCCTGGGCCCTGGCAACTGCCACCATGTTTCCCGTCGTCCTGTTGGCCTCGCGGCCTCCGTATCCTCAACTCTTGGCACATACATACGGTTTGGTCTCAATAATTTGACCTCTGCGCTGGAGTTTTGATAGCACACCGCCAGATTATGTTGGCCTGGTGGTCGTCCAAACATTGTGATAGAAAGTCTTCACTGCCAGGTTGGGGGCCAAGACCTTCGGATGGACTGCCTCAGAGCTCCAGCGCCCCCTGGCACCTTCTGTTCCCCCGGCATGCCAGGAGGGCGGCTCACCAGAGGGCGCTGCCCCGGTCGAGGACGCGGCGGGAGCCCTCTGTTGCTGCCGCCGACCGCGATGGCACGCCGCTGAAGCAACCGCCGTGTTGTCATCCCCTGCCTTCTCGGACGCAGCCCGTGCTGGGTATGAAGGATCATGCTCTTGGGGGTAATTCACATACAGTAGGCACGCCGATTGAGAAACCAGCCTGCCAGCAGGTGCACTACGGAATTGTCTGATAGGAGACGCCTACGGCGAATCACCGCCGCACCATGCCTGTTGGAATCGCCCATGTGGCCGGTCATTGTGGCAAGAGCTCTGCTTGCTCCTCCAGCCGTTGTGAAAGACCACCAGGGAACACTTGGGGGAGGATGGCGGGGAAGATCAGGAGGAGAAGGAGGAGAAGGAGGAGGAGGAGGAGAAGGAGGAGGAAAAAGAGGACAAGGAGAAAAAGGAGGAGGAGGAGGAGGAGGAGGAGGAGGAGGAGGAGGAGGAGAAGGAGGAGGAGGAGGAGGAGGAGGAGGAGGGGGCATCTTGGGAGCCTCTGGGGGCACTCCTGCGCCTCCTGGGAGCTTCCTGGGAGACTCTTAAGCCGTCTTGGGGGCCTCTCTGGGCCGACTTGGGACCTCGTGGGGTGCTCCAGAGCCGTCTTGGAGGCCATCTCGGGCGTCTTGGAGGCATCTTGGGCCCTCTTGGGGCCGTCTCGGGGGCCTCTTCGACCGTCCTGGGGCCATCTTGGAGGCCTCTTGGGCGATCTTGTGGCGATCGTTGGGGGCTCGTGGGCCGTCTCGGGCCGTCGGAATGCCGAAAGGACGCAGATGCCCAAACCCTTCAAATGGGTAGCACCCCGCAATTGCGGATAAGAGTGAGGGGGCGGGCGCGGGCGACGCGGCCTCCTCCGCCTCCTCCTCCTCTTCCTCCTTCTCTGTCTCCACATTCTTCTTACATCCTCTCTTAGTCCGCGTCCTCCTCGTCCCCTGTTTACTACTCTGCTTCGCCTTCTTCTCAAGATATCGACAAACCAATCCTTTGTTCCACTGGATGCTCCCCGACTTCTCTGATCCAGGCAACCCGCCAGGGTAAAATTGCTGGATGGGTTGGTGTGGATGAGCGGGGCTTAAAGAGGTCTTGGGGGGCTCAGGCGGCATGCAAAATCCGCCTCTGCGCTTGTGCGGCACTGGCGTGCTGTGTGGTAGGGTTCGTGGACGCCCCATCAGGAGGGTCCTTGAGCGCCCTGAGGCCCCTTAATTGTGGGCGCCTTGAGGTAGCTTCCCCTGAACCCAGGTTTAGGGCACGGATGCCGAATTGCAGCAGGCAGTTGTAGAGTCAGCGTGGGCCGGACCGGAGGGATGGCACGAGGGCGTTTTCCGAAACCAATGCGAGCAAGCCCGCCGCAGGCGCCGATTTGCGTGCTCTGACAAGTTCAGCGCGAGGGGGATCGCTGGTGGGCCACCCGGAACGAATGCAAAAACAGCCCGCCGCAGGCGCCGAATTTTTGGCTTGTTCAGTGAACGTAGTTGGGGTCACGGGTGGGTCGCGGGCTTTCCACCACCACCCGGGAGGAATTCAAAAACAGCCCGCCGCAGGCGCCGAATATTTCGATGTGTACACTGAGAGTGGTTTGGGCCGCAGGTTCTCCACCTGGAGCGAATGCCAAAGAAACTCGCCGCAGGCGCCGAAGTATGGGCTTGTTCAGTGAACGTAGTTTGGGTCGCGGGTTTTCCACCCCCACCTGGAAACAATTCAAAAACAGCCCGCCGCAGGCGCCGAACATTTTGATTTGTACAGTGAAGGTGGTTTGGGTCGCGGGTGGGTCGCAGGTTCTTCACTAGGAACGAATGCAAAAGAAGCCCGCCGCAGGCGCCGAACATCTTGGAACGAATGCATCAGAAACCCGCCGCAGGCGCCGAAAATTTTTGGGTGGGTCGTGGGGTGGGTCGCGGGTGGGTGGCTGGTGGGTCGCCTTGGGCCGCGGGTGGGTCGCAGGTGTGTCGAGGGTGGGTCGCGGGGTGGGTCGCGGGTGGGTCGCGGATGGGTCGCGGGTGAGTCGCGGGTGGGTCGCCGGGGGGTCTCGGGGTGGGTCGCGGGCGGTCGCGAGGTGGGTCGCGGGTGGATCGCGGGTGGGTCGCGGGTGGGTTGCGGGGTGGGTCGCGGGTGGGTCGCCGGGTGGGTCGCCGTTGGGTCGCCGGGTGGGTCGCGGGGTGGGTCGCGGGCGGGTCGCGGGCGGGTCGAGGGTGGGACGACGACAGCAACGAACAACAAACAACAAACAACAAACAACAACAAGAAGCCGCATCGCAGAATTCCACTTCAGCCACGCACCCAGGGACAGTGAATGACCGCTCGGTTCGGCCCCCCTCATTCTGATCTACGGGAAACACATGATTTGGAAATCGTCGGGCCTTCCTGGGGGCCCTCTTGGAGGCCTCTTGGGCCGTCTTGGAGACTCTTGGGGCCTTTTTGGGCCGTCTTGGGCCATCTTTGAGCCATCTTGGGCCGTTTTGGTGAGCTCTTGGCCCGTCTGACGCCGTCGGAAGCCGTCTTGGGGGCCTCTCTGGGCCGACTTGGGACCTCGTGGGGAGCTCCGGGGCCGTCTTGGAGGCCATCTTGGGCATCGTCGAGGCCTCTTGGGCCCTCTTGGGGCCGTCTCGGGGGCCTCTTGGGCCGTCCTGGGGACATCTTGGAGGCCTCTTGGGCCGTCGTGGGCTGTCGGAAAGCCGAAAAGAAGCAAATGCCCAAATCTTTCAAAAGCCGATGGGAAACCAATAAGTTTGGCCTCTTCGGGCTCTCCCAGAGGATGTCTTAGGGACATCTTGTGCGCCTCTTCTTGGGCCGTCTAGGGCCATCTTAAAGGCTTCTTGGGCGGACTCGGAGTTATCTTGGCGCCGTCTTGGGCCATCTTGATGGTTTCTTCAGCAAACTTGGAGGCAACTTGGACCATCTTGGAGGCCATCTTTCACCAGCCACCAAAACCACCCCAACCCAACCCGAAGGCTCAGATTTCCCCTCGATTTCCAGGGGGGGGGGGCCCGGGGAACATCGAAAAAACACATGTGGAACCCTTACCCCCCCCAACCCGAAGTTCGGGTCTTCGGGTTGGGTTGGGGTGGTCTGGTAGGTAGTCAGTCGGAGCTCGCACCGCATGCATCGCGTCGTGCAGCTTGCACCTCGCAGGGCGCACCGCTTACCTAAAACACCACACAGCTTGCACCACACGGCCAGCGCCACCCAGGTTGCGCGCCGTTGTTTACTCCACCTAGCTTGCACCGCATGGCGCACACATCCACAGCGCAACACAGTGGTTTCTTCAGCAAACTTGGAGGCAACTTGGGCCATCTTGGAGGCCATCTTGGGCCAACGTGACCATCTCAGCGACCGTCTTGACCGTCTTGGAGATGTCTTCGTGGGCGTTGTGCTCGTCTATGCTCCCTCTCGGGCGGCCCGCGCGCGGGGCCCGAAGCCCCCCGGGGGAGTTTTTTTTTTTGGGGGGGGGGGGAAACCTTCCCCCTCCTCCTCCTCCTCCTCCTCCTCCTCCTCCTCCTCCTCCTCCTCCTCCTCCTCTCCCGCCTCCTCCCCCTCCTCCTCCTCCTCCTCCTCCTCCTCCTCCTCCGCCTCCCCCCCTCCTCCTCCTCCTCCTCCTCCTCCTCCTCCTCCTTCCCCCTCCTCCCCCTCCTCCCCTCCTCCTCCTCCTCCTCCTCCTCCTCCTCCGCCTCCTCCTCCTCCTCCTCCTCCTCCTCCTCCTCCCCCGCCTCCTCCCCCTCCTCCTCCTCCTCCTCCTCCTCCTCGGGGGAAACCGAAGCCAAGAGCGCAAGAAGTCCAGCACGCCGTGCACCCCGGTGGCAAGCCAACAGGGGGCGGCGGATTCCCCGATGGCCCCGTGGACCTATAGAAGTCTTGGACGCCTTCGGGAACGGACCACCTCGACGTCGTCTGACCACGTGCCCCTGCATGTGTAACGGCTTCTTATGGCAAGGATCGGACGCGTCCTGCCAGAGATTTCTTCCCGAGAGCCCGGGCGACTCGCGCCAGCAAAGCCCACCCGCACGGTTTGCGCCCCGGCGCGCCCTACGGCGACGGCACTGGAGAAGGAACGTCTCCCTGGGGCCCAGACCCTGGCGCATCGCATCCCTTGTTGTCTCAAGGCGAGGTGGGTGGCCCACGCTTGGCCGCCCACCAGTCGTGAGACCCCGGGTTCCTTATCGAAGGCATCCTTATCTAAGACTTCCACCGCAGTGCAACGTCGTTTTGCTCCTCGCCCGCGTGGCTTGCAGGCATTGCTCCGGGAAAAAACGGTGGAGGGAAACAATGAGTGAACACCCCCCCTGCCCCCGAAACTCAAAGTTGGCACGCGCGGGGGCGACTGCGGTCGAGGCATTGGGGGGAGGGGGAGGCGTCCACAGATGAATGTGGCATGAGTGTTCGCCATTTTTTCGGAGGCCTGAAGGACCAGATGGTTCGAGCTCCGGCGGTCCCCTGGAGCTCGTGCAGGCGAGTGCCAGCACGCCCGTCGGGTCTCGACGTCGTCCGCCCGTCCGGCACCCTCTCTCAATTCTCAGGAGGGAAAAAACGCACAGACACAACTGCTCGTCGGCTCCCAGGAAACAACAGGAAAATATGGGAAGTGGGGAGGGAGACAAAATCCTTCAAAAAATAAGGAAATATAGGGAATCCTTTTGTTTATGTCTGTTTATTTGCGTGTCCCAGGGCCCCTTCAAATTCGTCTGCGTGCTTGCTTCGCCAATTGATGTCATTTGAATGCATATTGTGCGCAACGGGCACGGGCTCGGCGACGAGCTGCGATCTGTGACCGCTTCTGCTGTGCACCTGTCCCCAGATCATCTGGGACCGGCTTAACTCTGTAACGGATTTCTGGGTTGTCGATTTCAGGTCGCGACCCGATCCCAGTTTTGACGCCATCTCGAAGTAATTTGTAAAACGCCCCTGCTCATGATCTCTGAATTTCGATATTGGCAACCCGAATTTCGGTATCGCTTGCGACGCAGAATTCGGTATCGTCGAACGCGAAACTCGGTAACGAACCAGGCGCGGATTTCGGCATTCCTGCTGCCAAATTTCGACAACGACGGCGCAGGATTTCGGTAGCGACGAGACGCCGAAATCCAGTATCGCTGAACGCGAATCCAGTAACGAATTACCGGAATCTGCACGCTGATTCAACCGTGCACGCGTGACTCCTGATACCGGAATTAATCCCTGGATTCCAATATTCCAGTAAGGACCGGCTCTGCTACCTCGCTACCGGCTTTGGGCGGTCGCGGATGATCTGGGTCCCCGGGCTCCCGGACCGGCTACTCCCCCTCCCCGCCGTCGACTCGACCTTTCTCCAGGACGGCGACGGGTGGGACGTGGACATCGAGATGGACACGCAGGACTGCTCGCCGAAGGAGGCAGCTGTCGGCGAGGAGGCCGCGGCGGAGTCCGCCCCGCGCCGCGACGCCACGCCGACGGCGCAGGCCGCGCGCCGCTGCCCTTGCTGGGCTCCCCCTCCCAGCCTCTCACGTTGACCCCGCCAGCCCCTGGGTCCCCCAGTCTTCGTCTGGCCAGATTTCCACGCCCGCCCGCCATGGCCAACCCTTCCAACCCCTCTCCCATGTGGTACAGAGACCCCAGAACCATCGATTGCGTCCTCGGGGGACCTGTTGTGCCCTTCCCAGGCTGGAGCATTCGAGTAGGGGATCGACTGCAGAATTGGTTGACCCCAAAGCTCATATGCTCGCTGAGTGTACGAACAAATCGTAAAATGATCGTAGATCTAGTAGATCTACCAGCGACAAGAAAATCCATGTTGGGGTGCATCAATTCTGTAGTCGATTCCCTTCTCGAACCATCCAGGTCGGTGGCCGAGCCCCCGTTCGGACGGCCTGTCGGGCCCCGCACCTCCACCCCCCTCTTAGAGGCCATCTTGGGCCTCGTACCCCTCCCAGCTCCCATCATGTGGGGTTGCGGGGGGGTGGGGGTGTCGGGATCGCAGAAGCTTTCGGGATCGCCGAAGGTTTCGGTCTGCCGCCAGTGCACCAGTCAACCATGCCGTCAAGAGGCACAAGCGGGGGCCAAGGACTCCCTCACGGCCCCTCGGCCAACGAAGGCGGCCGCAAGGGAGGATCCACATTTACCACCACCTCTTTCGCAGTGCCTTGCGCCCGTCGACCAGCCTGCCAATTTCTCGTGTTCCGCCTCCGCGCGCCGCCCATTCCCGTTCCTAGACGTCCCGCGGCCCGATCCTCCTGCTCCTCCTCCTCCTCCTTTTCCTCCTCCTCCTCCTCCTCCTCCTCCTCCTCCTCCTCCTCCTCCTCCTCGTGTTTTCTCATCCTCCTCGTCCTCCTCCTGTTCCAGACGCGGGCCGCCAGACCTCTCGACACCTCCCCCGGGCCTGCCCTTCATCCCCGGTAGCTCTCCGACGGCCGCCGGATGCCTGGATCCTGGGTCACCCGACGTCCCGCGGCCCGATCTGCTCCAGACGCGGGCCGCCAGAGCTCTCGACGCCTCCCCCGGGGCCTGCCCTTCGTCCCCGGTAGCTTTCCGACGGCCGCCGGAGGCCTGGCTCCTGGGTCGCCCGGGGGGGCGCGAAGCTACGGTCGGGAATTTTGACTCCGCGTGTCGCGCCGCCAGATCTGGCCCACCATCCCCGGTAGCTTTCCGACGGCCGCCGGATGCCTGGCTCCCGGGTCGCCCGTGGGGGGCGCGAAGATAGGGTCGGGCATGTTGGCATGTTGGCTCCGCGTGTCGCGCCGCCAGCTCTGGCCCACCGCGCTTCGGCCCGACACGCTGTCCACGTGCCAGTCCCCGTGCGTCAACGTCCCGCGCTTCTCGACGTCTCCTGCCCCGCGGAGCGGAGCGACGCGCTATCCGCCCTCAGGGCATAGCGTGCCGCAGGGGCCGCCGCCGCGACACGCGAAGCAGCAGTTCCCGACCGCAGTCGCGAGTCGCGCGTCGCGCGTCGCGGTCTGGACTGGAAAGCTGCCCTCCTCCCCCCCAAAGGGCGACGCCAGAGCGCGACGAGAGGCGAAATCCACCGCGCGTCGCGCACCACGGGGCCGTGACGCGCGACGCCGTGCTTCTACGCAGCGCCGACCCCCCTATGATCGGGCCGGGCGAAAGGGGGGGATTGGGAAAGGGGGGGTTACGAAATCTGCTGCATGCAGCTGGTTTCGGCCTCACCGAGTGGGCCATTCCTCGATACATGGCCGCCTCCGGCGCCGGGAGGCGCCGGGAAAGTCAGCTACGTGAGCTGATTCTCAAACCCCCCCTTTGCTATCCCCCCCTTTCGCCCGACCCGATATGACCGCCTTCTCGTCCCGGGCCGTTCTCTCCACGGCCCCGAGGCCCGCGGAGGGCCTCCGGCGGCCGAGAGAACAGCCAAGAGCCTCCCGCCCGATCTTTCCACCACGTGGGGGCTGGGCCCCACGACCGGCCTCGCTCGGCACCGCGGCGCGAAGATGTTGGGCGGGTGGCAACGGTAACGGGCGAAGGACCGAGAGCCTCCCGCCCGATCTTTCCGCCACGCGGGGGCTGGGCCCCACGACCGGCCTCGCTCGGCACCGGCACCGCGGCGCGAAGATGTTGGGCGGGTGGCAACGGTAACGGGCGAAGGACCAAGAGCCTCCCGCCCGATCTTTCCGCCACGTGGGGGCTGGGCCCCACGACCGGCCTCGCTCGGCACCGGCGCGCGGCGCGAAGATGTTGGGCGGGCGGTAACGGTAACGGGCGAAGTTAACGGTGCAAAATACACTTGTTCGCTGTCGGGGGCGCCTGTCCCAGGGCGGCTGGAAAGTTTATATACCCTTGCGGTGGCACCGTAGGGGTCTAAACTTTCCAGCCGCCCAGGGGCAGGTGTCCCCGACGGCGGAAAGTTTATTCTGTACCGTTCCTCGCTCGCTAAGAATGGGGGCTGACTTACGCCCGGACCCCCTCGCGTCGCGAAGGACTCACGACGGGAGGTTGTTCGCCAGCTTCGGCCCCTGGGGGCCGAAGCCGGCCCCAGGGAAGGAGTCGAGAACTCTGGGGGCCGCCGCTGTGACAGAATCATGACGTCGGGGGTCTCGGACCCCCTCGCGTCGCGAAAGAGTCACGACGGGAGGTTTTTCTCCAGCGTCAGCCCCTGGGGGCCGAAACCGGTCCCAGGGAGTGGGTCGAGAATTCTGGGGGCCGCCGCTGTGGCAAAGTCATGGCGTCGGGGGTCTGGGAACGGGGGGCCGAGAACGGGGCCCCAAAGCGGCCGTTGGGGCCCCTTTTGGAGCCAGCCAGGGCCCCAAAGGGCCCCTCTGGGGCCTCTCATCGCCCCCATTGAGGCCGCCGCCCATTACATTCCACCCGCCCGAAAGATTGAACGGGCCTTGGGACACGCAGAAAAATAGACACAAACAACAGGATTCCCCATATTTTCCCCTCTTTTCTGTTTTTTATGTCTTTCCCCCTCTTCCCATGTGTTCCCATATTTCCTGGGGAACCGACGATTCACTGTGTCTGTGCGTTCTTTGCCCGCCCGAAAGAGGGCCGCGGGGGCCCCAGCTCCCGACCTGCGGGGGGGGAGGCTCGCTCGCCAGAGGGCCGGCCGAGCCCCCGGGGCGGAGGCCCCCGGCGGCGGGATCGCCAGTCCTGCCGCGGCCTCCCGGGGCACAGGCCACGGCAGGCGTAGGCGTTGTTCACTTCTAATTCTTTCGGGGCTGGACAGAACTCCCAATAGTGACACGTCGATTAGTGAATTGTCCGTTTTCGGTTCTCGAGAGGGCGCCGTGGCCGTCAGTTTCCAGGCTTTCGCCCGCCAGATTTGGGCCCGAGGTCGTTTTCACTAAACCACGTTTTGCTAAAGGGGGTTCTGTCCATCCCCGATTCTTCGAAAGTTTTTTGATTTTTTGGGGGAGCCAAGATCCTCTCACTTCTAACTGTTCTATCCTGGGCCTCTTCCTGGCCAACAGGGGGCCGGGAACAATCAGAAACGACCACAATTAGAAATGAGCACGATTAGAAATGAATGACGTGTAACGTTAGGGGTCGGCCACGCGCTCTGGGAGGTGGAGGGGACGGGGGCAAGGCTTCCTAGAGGCACCCCTACGCGTCTTGGAAGGCACGGGTCCTGATCGACAGACGTGGGGCCGGCGCCTTCCAAGAAGCAGCTTTCTTCTGAGAAGCCCTCCCCCCTCCCCCTACGGCGGCGGCATTGGATGGAACGTCTTCCTGGGTCCCCGACCCTGTTTCAAGGCGAGGTGGGTGGCCCACGTTCGGCCGCCCACCGGTCGCGAGACCCTGGGTTCCTCATCGAAGGTATCCTCATCTAGAACCTCCACCGTACCCCCTTCCTGCGCGCCGCCAAGCCATGGCAGGCGTAACGGTCGGGGGGGGATAGGCTCTCAGGGGGCGACTCGACGGCCCCCAGTCGACCACTCATCGCCAGTGGGGGCCCGACAGGCCGCCCCCGCCCAGGGGCGCGAGGGCTTGCCACCGGGGTCCTGTCGCCAATCTATCGGCGATGTGTCGCCGATGGCAGGTCGAGGCTTCCCCCCCGGAGCCGGACCCCCCCCCCTGTCGCTGCCCTTCAACAGGCGGGCACCTCCGAGAAGAGTTCGGCCTGCCAGCAGGTGCCCAACGGAAGCTCCGTGTCGCTCGATTGCCCGGGGGGCTCACGGGAGCCGGTCACCTCAGAGAGCCCACAGCTCGATGGCAAACGTTCAGGAGGGGAAAAAACACACAGACACAATTAATCGGCGATTCCCAGGAAAATATGGGAAAATATGGGAAGTGGGGGGGAAGACAGAAACCCAGAAAATATGCGAAAATATGGGGAATCTTTTTATTTGTGTGTATTTATTTGTGTGTCCTGGGGCCCCTTCAGGTCACCTCAGAGAGCCCACAGCTCGATGGCAAACGTGCCCCTGCACTTCTCGCAGCAGCATCGCTCCCAGCAGGCGGCTCGGGCCTCCAAGGCCGGGCCAGGGCAGGTCGGGTCAGAGGACCGCGCCGCATCGCCGATGCATCGGCGATGCGGCGCGACCCCAAGCCCGACCTTCTCCGTCCCAGCGTCGCCGGTGCATCTCGGGCCGGGCGAAAGGGGGGGATTGGGAAAGGGGGGGTTACGAAATTTGCTGCATGCAGCTGGTTTCGGCTTCACCGAGGGGCCCATTCCTCGATACATGGCCGCCTCCGGCGCCGGGAGGCGCCGGGAAAATCAGCTACGTGAGCTGATTCTCAACCCCCCCCTTTGCTATCCCCCCCTTTCGCCCGACCCGAGATGCATTAGCGATCTGGTGTGTTCCTCCGACCCCGTCTTCTCCATCCGACTCGTACATGCACACCCAGGGTCTTGAGGCCAAGGGGTCATGAGGTGTTTCGAAGGTTTTCGGCCTCACAGGGTCCTCCCTGGGCCCTGGGGACGGTGCAACAAAGACTCCGTACAACAAAAGGCTTCTGGAAGGTTCCAGGGCCACCTACAAGTTCAAGAATTCAGGATTGTTCGGGACAGATGGGCTCGCTCCACTGACAAAGCCCAAGAGGCAACAACTTGCCGACTTTTCAATGTTATTCGAGCGACGCTATCACTTTAGAACGCTTCGATCTTGTGAGCGACGGACACCTGCTCTGACCTTCTGTTGTTTTCGAGATCTTGGGCGGCAAAATTGTTGCGGACGTGCTGGTTGGAAAGCGTCAGGTTAACATTTACAACCTCCTCCGTCTCGCCTGCTCCTGCCCGTGCTTCTGCAGTTGCCGTTCCCAGCTCTCCTCCTCCTCCTCCTCGTTCCCTCCGCTCTCCCCTCCTGCTCTTCGCAGCCAGCGCCTTTTTTTCAGCCGCCCTCTCAGGGGGCAGCCACAAGGTAAAGCCAAGCATATGCTTCCCCTTATCCCGGTTCCTCTCCTGCCTGCGCGTGCCGCTATCGTTCCTCCTCGTCCTCGTACCCTGTCCCCCCCCCTCCTCTCTGCCTCCCCCTTCTGCCCCTCCTCTCTCCTTTTCTTATCCTGTCCCAGCGCTCCCTGCATCCGCCTAACGACGCGTATGGATTTCCACCGCTCCCCTGGGGCAGCACTCCGCTGGAACGACCTTCCCCATCCTGCTTTCTCCGTCCAAGTCTCGTCGGTCCCGTCATTCGTCGGTCCTCCATCCAAGCCCTCCTTCATCCTCCCTCGTTGTGGCCGCTATCGTCTCGTTCGTCGTTGTCCCTTTCGTAGTCGTCGTTATGCTTGTCGTCATTATCGCCGTCCATGCCGCACCGCTGCCCTGTCGTTCCCATCGTCGTATTTCCGTCACCCGTGTCACCGCGTTTTGCGTCCTCGCCATTGTCGTCGTGTTCCCCTCCTCCTTCCCGCCCAACCCGCCCGTCCCGACACGCCCGTCCCGACCAGCCCGTTAGGCTCGTCTGCTTGTCCGCCTCCCGCTTTGAAGCCAGCCCCGCCCGTTTCGCTTTTTCGGTCTGCCCGCCCGACCCGCCTGGCCATGACCAGGGCCCGCCCGCTTAAACCGCCCGTTATGTACTGCCCGCTCGCTCGTCTGACAATCCGCCTATCTGCTCTTGCCGTAGGAGGGAGAACCAGGACACGGAGGAGGATAATGACGAGAAGGAGGACGGTGAGGGGGAGGATGGGGAGAATTGCGGGGGCAGGGTTGGAGATGACGAGGATGACGACGACGACACGACAAAGGAGAAGGCCAAGCGCGCAATCAGGCTCCTTACAATGAGGGTGCCGAAAGCATCCGTCAATGTGTGCACCGGAATGTTGCATCAAATCTTGGTCTCTTGACCATGCTGTTTTGGGCTTTTCCGCGCCGACACTAGCTACTTCTATGTGTTGACTTCCACCTTTCTGCGCCAAGGACTACACAGTATGCGTTTCGATGTTCCGATGTCTTTGGCCGAATTCCTAAAGTGGAACACTCACATACTGCATCCAACCAGTCCCCCCTCTCATGTACACGATCCGTTTTTCTCAGGACCTTTTCTCAATCTCGTTTTTTTTCCACTAGGTGCGTTGTGCTCTCAAGTTTCTTCAGACTCATTTGGGCTGTCAACTTTCTGAGATTCTGGTTGAATTTGCACCAGACCCACCCGCACGGGTTCTGCACCTCTGCACCCGACAATGCAGGATCTGTCCTGGTCTGCGCAGACTGCGAACGGGATGGGCTGAGGGAGTTGTTTGTTCTGATGAGTTTGATGCTTCTGTCTGGCGATGCGCAGGCCAGGTGCGCCAGTTGACACAAGTGTTCTGTTCATGTTAGCATGTGTCTCGTATGTCTGCGCGCTTGGCCCCTCAGGCCTTCGAGACTTGATGGGGAGTGACGAAGACGGACCAGGGTTTGAGGTGAGTGCTGAGATCTCTGACCACGTCTGCTGTGCCTTTGCCCTGTGCTCCCAGACCGACGGCGACGGCTGGGATGCGGACAAAGAGGTGGACACGCAGGCGGGCTCGCCGAAGGAGACCGTTGCCGACGAGGCCACGGCGGAGTCCGCTGCACGCCACGACGACGCGCCGACGGCGGAGGCAGCTGGCCTTGTCTCAGCCTCGCGCCTTGATCCCTGGAGGTTCCTTGCTCAGCCTTTGCCGCTCCTCCTTCTCCTCCCCCTCCTCCTCCTCCTCCTCCTCCTCCTCCTCCTCCTCCTCCTCCTCCTCCTCCTCCTCCTCCCCCTCCTCCTCCTCCCCCGCCTCCTCCTCCCCCTCCCCCTCCTCCCCCTCCCCCTCGGAGAAAATGCACATGGAGAAAATGCACATGGATTTTCCGACGGTTCGCGCGGAGCGCGCCGAGGGGCGGCGCTGGTCCCTCGCACCCTGGCGCGCGGAGCGCGCCAAGGGGCGGCGCCGGCGGCGCCGCCAGGAGGCCCAGCCCCGATCCGAGACATCCGTGCAGAGCTCAAGCAGTTTATGCCGTTGTCCTTGCTCTACCACCGCCGCCCTTCTCTCCTGGCCCCGCAGGCGGGAGGAAGGAGGAGGAAGGAGGAGGGATGACATAGGAGGAAAGAGGAAGGAGGAGGGATGACATACAGGAGGGATGACATGTAGGAGGAGGAGGAAAAAGCAGGAAGGAGGATGATGAGGAGAGCCTAAGCCATGGCCACCCTTCCCCCAAAAGGAGGAAGGAGGAGAAAGAAAGAGGAAGAGAAGGAGGACGAGGAGACTGAGGAAAGAGGAGGAATGAGGAGAATGAGGAGGATGAAGGAGGCTTCATGGGCTCTGGCCACTGCCACCCTTCCCCCATGGCCCCCCACAGGCTTCTTTAACCCAGGAGGAGAGGGGGATCCACCACCAGGCTCTCGGGCCAGGCTGGCTGCCACGACCTCCAGCTGGACGGCTTTGCCTCCAATGCAGTCAGCCAGCCTCCTCATCCGCAAAGGAGGAGGGAGCAGCAGGAGGAGGAGGACGAGGAGGAGGAGGAGGAGAAGGATGAGGATCATGATGATGATGATGATGATGATGATGATGATGATGATGATGATGATGATGATGATGATGATGATGATGATGATGATGATGATGATGATGATGATGATGATGATGATGAGGAGGAGGAGGAGGAGGAGGAGGAGGAGGAGGAGGAGGAGCAAAGAAGAGGGAGCAGGGAGGATGGTGAGGAAGAAGAAAGGACGCAGGGAGGAATCGGGGAGGAAGCAGGGGTGGGGGAGGGTCAATCCCCGAACGACCCCCTGCGATTGCAGTGAAATCTGCAGCATCAGTGGCCCTCTCAGGAGCCCCTCCTTGTGCCGGTCCGAGTGATGCCCGACCTGCCAGGACGGCGGCGCGCCGGAGCAAGCCGCCCTGGCCGAGGGCGCGGCGGACGCCCACGCAGCTGCCGCCGGCAACGGCGGCTCGCCACGGGAGCAGGTGCGCTCCTCGGTGCTATCGACGTGGGTAGGGAAGGGATGGGGACGAAGAGGGGCGGTGCCCGACAGAAGTGGAGCTTGAAAAGAGAAGGGGGGCTTCAGCAAGGATACACCAAATAGCCACGCGCCAGCAATGATACACTACATAGCCACGCATGTTTGTCGAGCCCCCGTGTCCCCCCCGGGGGCCCTCCGGAGGTCCCCAGGAGGTTCCGAGAGGCCCCCAAGAAACCCTCAGCAGGGCCCCAAGAGGGACCCAGGAGTTGCTGTCGGTGCCGCTGCGGGCCGTGTCCACTTGGAGGCAGAAGGCCGCCTGCCCAGCAGCGACCGCTGCCGGTTCTGGGCAGCACTTGTTGCTGTGCATCGTGCGCAGCGTTTCCGTACACATTCTGGGTTTGCAGAGGTCCCCGAAAATCTCAGGGGAACGTTACGCGTTGATCGAGGTTCGAGGTTTTCGGACGTTTTCGTGGGTTCTCGTTGGCTTTCCATCCTCGGGGTGCCTTCGAGCGGCTGCGCCTCGGCGAGAGCGTTCGGGGGGTGCTCGGATCGTCCCGAGCAGCCGCCGGAGAGCCGAGTTATGACCCGAAAACAAATGGGGAACGCGAGGGGGAGATAAGCTCAGGGGAGCCCTCAAACGGTGCGGTCACCACGCCTTCTGGTGAGCCAGTGGGGATTCGGAGTGACCGCACAGTTTTGGGACCAGGGTCACTCTCTGAGGATGTCTCGGGCGACTGGGGCCGCCAGGGTCCCAGCACAGTGCGGCGACGGACAGTGCGGTGAGTTCTTCTGGCATTTCGGGGTCACCGCACGGTTCGTCACCGCACAGTTTCGTGGCCACGAAGGAGCCCAGGGGCAACGTCAGGGGGGGATAGGCCCAGGGGTGAAGCACCGATCCCCAATCGCCCACTGATCCAGGGCTCGTTTCGATTCCTCCGATTCGATTCGATTCGATTCCGATGGTTTCCGATTCCGATTCGACTCGACTTGGGGTTCCGATTTGGGCTCCGATTTCTTATTGGAGGCATACTAGCCTGCCGATTTCTGTCGATTCGACTTTTCCCGACTCGGCTGCCGATTTCCGCCGATCCGATTCATTTCGATCGCCGATCCGACTTGTCGATTCGATTCTGGGCTCTCCTGCTGATCGCCGACAGGTGCCTGAGGGCTGATAGCCCACCCCGCCCAGGAACGTGCGGATTCGCTACATCGGGAGACTACCGCCGATCCATCGGAGATGTATCGCCGATTCTGGGTCGATGTTTCCTCCCCTCTGAGCTAGTCGCCCCGTATCATTCCCCCTCAGGACCTTTCAGACCTCATCCTCGTAGGCCTCCCGAGAACTTGTGCGACCTGCGCCAGCAAAACTCGCGCGGCCCCAGTCTCTGCGGCTCAGAGACAGCGTCTCCCTTCATCGCTGCTGGTTGTGGGCGGGTTGAAGGCGAAGAAATGAGGCCTGCGGCAGTGACCCCTGCAAAGCTACTCGCGGTGCAGTCTACGCGTGCCTGGTGAAATGCAGGCCAGCTTTGATAGGCTCCTCCCTGTTCGCAGCCTTTGCCCATCTGGTTCAGTTCCCGACCCTTGCGCGCGGCAGGCCGTTCGTATCATTTTCTGGGAGTGAACAGAAGGGTGACGACAAGGCGCTCTGTGATTTGTGAGAGTTGGTCGCGTTTCTTCTGTGCGCTTGTTTTGCTTAAATCCCTGGCCATTTATGGACACGCTCCCCTCCTCTCGCCCTTGATTTTTCAGGACGGCGACGGTTGGGATGCGGACATCGAGGTGGACACGCAGGAGTCAGGATGGACAAAAAACACAGACACTGATAATCGTCGACCCTCAGGGCAATGGAACATATGGGAAGTGGAGTGGGGGGACGAACATCCAGGACATATCTTTCGCATGGGCAATCCCATGATTTGTGTTTATGTGTTTGTGTGCCCCTGGTCCCCATTCAAAGAGGGCTCACCGAAGGAGGCCGCTGCCGCCGAGGAGGCCGCCGCGGAGTCCGCTGCACGCGGCGACGCCACGCCAACGGCGGAGGCAGCTGTTCTTGTCTGAGTCGTTGTCCCAGTCTTGCTTCCGATCTCTCGAGGCCTCTTGTCACCCCTCACACGTTGGCCAGCTCCATGGGGACACCCATCGTTGCCACAGGTTGTCACTCCTACATGCGGGCCGCGGGAGCCACATGTTGTTCACAAGAACTGTCCATTGGCACTGGTAAATTCCTACGCGGTGCCCACGCGCAAGAGGTGCTGACATGCCATGTGTGCTCAAACTCAGCTTGTGGGTCATGGGTCGTAGGCGTTGTGATAGTGCTGGGCTTTGTGGCCATCGCAGGCATTCGGGGAATGATTGGCACTGTGGTGTGCTTGCGCGTGGTGATTGTCTGAAACCCTGTGTTGCGCACTGTGGTGATTAAGGGAGGGGGGGGCGACGGCGATGGCGATGATGATGTCGACGACGGCGATGAGGATAACGATGGGGATGCAGAGGGATGAGCCAGGAACATGGTAGATATGATCGGGTAGTGACGACGTAAGATGAAGGGTCCGAAGTGACGCAGTCCCCCTCATTTCCCATCATCGACATATCCCCTCTTCGACGAGGGATCGGGTGAGTTTGCGATCGTATCGGGTATAAGGGTGGGTTGGAGGGGTGAGGCGGGGTGACAATGACGATGGTAATGGTGCTTGTGATGTTGATGATGATGTTGATGATGATGTTGATGATGAAGGGGGTGGGGGTCATAAGGAGAGAATCAGAGAGAGGAGGCCGCTGATAGCATGGAACATATGTTGGATGCGAAATCGGAGGTGACGCGCAGTGGATCAAACGGAATATGTCCCTCTTCCATCTCCGCATACATCATCGCACTGGACGGATGATGAGAGACGCAACAGGGGGAATACGAAGAGAGAGTCATTCCCATCCTACCCCCCCGTTCTACGTATCCTCCTCCATCCTCCCTCCTTTTCCCTCCCCCGCCCCCATAATCCCTCCTCCCCATGCCCCGTCTCTTTTTCCGTTTCTCTGTCCCCGTCCTCGCACTTTCACTTGGTCGGGGGTTGAGTCGGGGAGGGTAAAGGCGGGGAATGGGGATGGAGGGCGATTGGGAGACGACTCCGCATTGTCTTTGTCCGCCTCATCGCCATCCTCGTCCCCCCCCCTCCTCCATCGCCTCTCATCCTCATGGCGCATCCTCTTTCATCGGGGGCTACGAAGAGGCGCATGGGGCAGGGAGGGATGGAGGAGGATGTTGACGAGGAGCAGGAATACTCGTTCAGTGGCTACTCGCCCCTCCTGGTCATCCGAGGACGCGGGGGAGGAGGAGGAGGAGGAGGAGGAGGAGGAGGAGGAGGAGGAGGAGCCAACGACGACGAATAGGATGTGGACGAAGGGGGCTGGCGGTCATGAGCACACCCTATTTACTATTGCATTGCCACCGTCGTCTTCACTATTCAAGTGGCTTGCGAAGTTTCCCTGGCCCCCTGACTAGGTGTGGAGTTTACGGTTGAGGCGTAATGGGTTTTTGGGGCACAGTGTGGGGATTTTGGTGGGCGTCTTGAGAGTTGTTGAAAGTTCCAATGAGGAAATTGCCCCGCTGTGGGACAGCCGTGTGATAATCTTGAAGCGTGCCAGAACCCGTTAACCTGATTGTTGCGTCTTGGCGAATTAGAATCGTACCAGAACGCCGCTCCTGCGATTTCAACACCGCCGCGAATACATGTAACTGTTGCGCCCTGGCAACCATGAGTCGTTTCAGAACACAGTTTCTGCGTTAACCATGCGAGTCAGTGAAACTCCTGCAAATGTTTACAACGAGTGTGCGCGGCGCTGAGGTGATAGCCACATTTTGAAAACCACCCGCCCTCAATCCGCGAAGCTCTTGCAAGTATTTGAAGCGAATGTGCGGGGCGCCAAGGCGAGACCCACATTTTGAAAACGACCCGCCCTCGTTCCGCGAAATTCTTGTAAACTGTTACAAAGAAGGTGCGCGGCGCTAAGGCGATAACCACATAACAACAAAAAAGACATCCGTCCTCTATGTGTGAAACTGTTGCCAACTTTGAAGCTTCAGGGTCATAAGTGGTGAGGAAGTCTCAGGCGAAACGCCCGCCCCGTCCTTGCGACCGGCCTCGGACTGCGACAGGGAGGAGTTATTTGCAGGGAGAAGGAATCGAGGAGGAGGAGAAGGAGGAGGAGGAGGCGCTGGGAGAAGGAGGAGGAGGATACGGAGGAGGATGAGGAGGACCCTCGTCGGGCCGCGCGGGGCTGTCGGCTCCGGCCCGCCGGGTGTCGCTCCCCAGGGCTCGCTGCCAGAGTTCTCTGCCTTCGCTTCGGCATCCCTGCGCCCTGACGCTCCGCAGCACCCCTCCTCCCTTTTCGCCAGAGTTCACTGCAGGCCACCTCTTTCTCCCAGGGCACAGTTCATTGCCTGAGCTAGCATATGTGGCAGGTCGGCTCGTGCGGCGTTCCTGCTTTGCCAGGCTGTATGCTGCATCGCACCAAGGTACCTCTCACGCAATGGAGATCAACAGCGGTCGCGCCCTACTCATTTCCTCTCCCTCTGGGACAGATTTTTTTCGCGCCTTTCGCGATCCATCCGTGCGTCTGCTACACGTAAGAGTGACCTGCCACTGGAGTGACTGCTGGTCCGTGCACACCAGGCTCCCGAGATGGATGAATTCGATGCGATAGCAGCGGCTTTCGCGCTCGGGCTTGGCCCCCACGCGCCCCCCGAAAGCCGAGCACCAAAGATCACTCCTGCCTGGGGTCACTCTTGCGTGTAGCCGAGTGCGGCCTCCCGTTGGGGAGGGACAGCGCTGCTCCAGGCCCTGTGTTATCGGTGGTCGCGCCGGGGGGGAGGAGGTGTGCAGAGGCGGCCGTGGACTTCGGCGCGGCCGTGGACGAGGCGGGCGGCCTCGACGTGGCCATCGAGTCGCTGGGCGGCTGGAGCCTGGACGACGAGGTGGACGTGCAGGACCCAGCGGCGGCCTCTCGCGGCACTCCTCCGCCGCCGCCTTCTCCCTTGCCTCCTCCTCCTCCTCCTCCTCCTCCTCCTCCTCCTCCTCCTCCTCCTCCTCCTCCGTCTCCTCTTCTTCCGTCTCATCATCCTCTTCCGCCTGCTCCTCCTCCCCCGCCGCCTTCTCCTTTGCCTCGCCTTCCCTTCCTCCTCCGCCGTCGTCTCCTTTGCCTCGCCTTTCTCCTTCTTCTCCTCATCCTCCCCATCTTTTTCCCCTCTGCCTCCACAGAGACCGTCACCAGACTTGGACGTTCCCATCAACCTGGCCCCCTCTGAGTGGCAAGTCGCCTGCTCAAGCCACTCAGATCCAAGCTTGGTCCGTCCCGTGGCAGAGGAGACGTTAGGGTCCATGTCGTGTCGCTGTGGCTTTGCTCTTCTCCATGCTCCCCCATCTTCCTTGTCTGTCTCCTCCGCCCCCGCCTCCTGATGCACGACCGCCTGACGCCCAGCGGCCGTGCATCCCTTCCCCTCTTCCTTGTCTTCCCTGCCTCGGGCTCGCAGTGCCTACGGACATGCCAGCTTCCTCTAGTGTTGCCCTTCTCTCAGTTCCTTTCCCTCGTCCGCCCGCCCACTGGCTGGCCAGCGCCCCCCTCCCCGCCGCATCTTCGCCGTCCTGTTCGTCGTCATCCCCCCCCTTCCTCCTCTCCCTCGCGGCACGCTCGCCTTCTGTCCACCCGAGGATCGAGCACTTCGAGGGACGAGGAGGGGGAGGAGATCAAGCATGAGGAGGATCGACGATCGGGGATCGAAGATCGAAGACGAGGAGGATCGAGGAGGATCGTGACCCTGGGCAGAGGTCTGCACGGCGCCGCCGCGCGCATGGCCTCGAGCACTGGCCCCCCCGCACGAGACCAGCCTCAGACCGGCGACTACAAAGTGTGCGTCTACGCCGGGGTGTGGCCTGCACTCGGCGCCGTTGGGGCCTACGATCAGGAGCGAAAGCAGGACGTGCACGGGTGCGGGGGGGCGGGGGGCGGGGGGGCGGGGGCGGGGGGGCGGGGGGGCGGGGGGGCGGGGGGGCGGGGGTGTGGCGGCAGAGAAAGTATCTTCGCGAGGCTTCGAGGCTTCCTGTCGCGGCTGGGCGCGTACGTCTCCGGGCTGCCTATAGGAATGACCACGCTGTGCTGAACGTCTGATGGGCCCTCGTCGGGGCGCGGCAGAGATATCTCCGTCGAGGCCCTCGCCCGCCCTCCCAGGCGCGGGTTGCACACCACACCCTTAGCAAACCTCACCCTTCGGAGTCGCCGGTGGGCATCCTTCGCCCGGCCGATGCCGAGGGCCCCGGTCTCCCTGACCTGCAGCGCGGTGGCCGGCTCGCTGGCGCTGCTCGCGAGGCAGCGGGCCTGGGTCGCGAGGCAGGACGGGAAGCACGTGTACGTCATCCGCCACGGGACCGCCGTGCACAACGTCCGGTTCGGGCGGAAGGACGAGGTGTTCCGCGATCTCATCGAGAAGCGGGGCCGCGAGAACCGCGACAATCGCTGGCTGTTTCCTGAGATCGAGGAGTGGGCGTACATTCGAAGAAGGGAAAACAGCATGACCATAAGCTTTCGCAACTCTGTGCGGATTTCTTGGGGCGGCGCTGGACCCCCCCTGGCGACGCCACTGACGCTGCCTCCGGCGCGCTCCGCGCGCCAGGGAGGGGATTACAGCGCAGATCCAAAAATGCGCGTGGAGTTCCGAATGTGCCATGTTTATATATCTTCCTCTTCTTCTACGCATGACCAACGAGACCGTCGACACCGAGCTCGTGGAGTCTGGCGTGCATGAGGCGCGCCAGCTTGGCGAGGCGTGGATGGGCGGCAGGGCGCGCATCCACGACCGCCAGGGTGCGACCGAGGTCGCGCCGCTTGCTATGAACGACATCGACCTGATCGTCACGAGCCCGCTCACGCGCACCTTGCAGACAACGATGGAGGTGTTCTTTGTGAGAGACGCGCCTCAGAGGGCTGGATCTGGTCCTGCGGCAAGGTGGCAGCGATCTCGTAGCGAATCTTCTCGGCCTCAAGGGGGGCTTCAGGCCGACACTGAGGCGGCAGACAAGCCGATCATCGCTTTAGACATGATCAAAGAGTGGTCGCAGGGAAGGCACACGCCGAATCTGCGCAAGGACAGATCCAGGCTGGCCCAGGCTTACCCGGCTGTCGACTTCGCGCACCTGGACAGCGATCGGGACCAGATGTGGCGGTCGCATTGGGGGGGAGACCCGAATGGCTTGGAGCCTCGCGCTCATTTGGAGGCACGCGTCGCCAGATTCAAGCAGTGGCTCGCCAAAAGGCCGGAGCGCAACATCGCCGTTGTCTCTCACGGCACGTTCTTGGGGAACCTCCTGTTCGGCACCTTTATCGAGGACACCAACGATCTCGCACATTGCAAGATCTATAGATTCGAGATGGGTGCATGAGATTGTCCCTAATTTCGGCGGCGCGCCTGGGGGGGAAGAGAGAGGGGGCAGGCCTTCTCAGAAGACGGCGGGGCTTCTCAGAAGCCCTCCGGCCTTCTGAGAAGCCGTCTCTGCCGCCGGAGAAGGCCCGAGGCCTTCCGAATCTTGTGAGAAGTCCCGCCCCTTACGGTCAACCCGCATAGTAAGGAGAAATAAGTTTCCAGGGTTGCCCTTGCATCCTTCCCCTGCTGCCCATCCTTGGCCGCTTTCGCTGGCCGCGCCCCGCTCGCAAAGTGCCGACATGGCCCAAGGCCCTTGCATCCTTATCGTGCGTCCTCATGAGATGGGTTGGCTGTAGGCTGTAGGCCATCCCCCCCCCCCCCTGGGCGCGCCGCCGATCTGCGGCCAAGCCCGCGGTCGCCGCGAGCTCAGAGCTGGGCGCCAGCTTGGCCGCGGGAGCCGAGGCCTCGCCCGCGGCGCGGCCGCCGCGGGAGAGCCCACCACGCTGCACGCCGCGTGGCCGAGCCCCCCCCGCCCGTGGCGACGGCCGCGGCCGTCGGCCGGCGCACGACCTCGGAGCCCAACTCGCGGCGCTCGCCATGGGGGAAGCGGGTCCTGAGGGAAAGGGGTCCTGAGGTTTTTCACCATCTTTGGCTTTCCGGGGCCCTTCACGGGCCCCGCGACTGTCTCAGAAAACGACCCCGGATGAAGAGTGGTTCCTGGGCGGGGCCCCCGGGTCCAGGACCCGCTTACCTCAGACGGGGACCAGCGCTGACGGGGTCAGCCAATTCCCTCCGGCCCCCTCAGGCTGACCCGGGCGTGGAGGGGCTGTGGAGCCGCTTCCGCAACCCCTCCCCCCGTGGACCCGGGTTCGGGAGCCATGCTGCGGCTGGCCAGGGTCCACGACGCGGCTCTGGTTGTCCCGGATCAGCGCTGTCCCGGGTCAGGGCGTCCTGGGCCACCCTGGTCGAGGGATGCCGGAGTGTGCCAATCGCGACAGACGAGATCGGTACAGCGAGCGGCTTGAATAAGGAACACTTACTTTTCAAAAGGGGCTCGGTCGTTCCTTAGGTTTACATGTGTTATTTACAACTCCTGATGCGTTATTTATTATTTATCGTTCCAGATGCGTTATTCCTTGAGATAAAAAGGGGCTCCGCTCCTTATTTATCGTTCCTTAGGTCAGGCCGATGACTGTAGCCACACCGATTTGCCTCCGATTCCGGGACCCGTCGCGGCCGATTTTTTTTCCAACCTCGGCCGCGACCGACCTGTCGCGACGGGTCGCTGCCGATCGCGACCGACAAAATATGGCAGCCCATGATCTGGGCAGCCGTGGGCAGCCAGGGGCCGGCCCCGCGCCGCCGGCGGCGGGGCCCCCAAGGCCCGTGCGAGGCCACGCGCGGGGCCCAGACCTCCAACGCCTCGAGACGCTCGAGGCGAGATGGCTCTCGCAGCGTTCGGCCTCGGGGTGCCCTCTCGCCAGGCCCCCGGGGCCGTCTGAGAGCAGCTCCGGACGGAGAGCCGCCCCCAGGGAGGTCCAAACCTCTGGGGTCGGGGGTGGACAGACCTCCTACCCTGCCACGTCGATTCAGGAATTGGCCGTTTTTGGTTCGCGAGAGGGCGTCGCGGCCGTCATTTTTGCGGGTCCAGGTCCGTCGGTTTCGGTCCCAAGCCGTTTTCACTAAGGGGAGGTCTACTAAAGGGAGGTTTGTCCACCGCCGATGGGGGCCCCGCACGGAGAAGCTCGAGGCATCCGTTGTCGCCTGCCTGACGTTCGCCCCCGCCGCGCTCGGCAAGAGCGGCGGGCTCCCGCGGGGGTTCGGATGCAAGTCCTGGGAGGTGGAATGCTACATCAGCGCTGGAGGATCCGCTGGCGAAGACCCGCCCAATCCGGCACAACCCCGGTCCACTTCGCGCAATTCGGCCAAACATATTTTGATGCTGGGCTTGATTTTGGTTGGTTCGTCTCACATGCTGCTGAATGGCCCTCTTCGTTCTTACGAAGACCGCCCAGGAGTTGCTGCCTAAGCGGGCTCTACGGGGGAGCGTACCCCAGACATTCGACGTCTTGATTTTTCTGTACAGGGTTACCAGAATGTCTGACCATTTTCTTAGGGCTTATCAGGCTGGAGCATGTCCCGCTCCCCATGCTTTGCATCGCGTCATTTCGATGCCGATCTTAGGGATTATTTCAGATAGTGAGGGCGCATCCCTAAGATTGTCATCTCCTATTTGGCTTGTCAATCGTAGGATAGGGATATATTCGAGGCTGGTTAAGGGCCGGTTTTTCGTCCCGTGTGCTTTTTGTTGACGGTCCTGGGGGCCTGGCTAATGTCCCCGGGGGCCGAAACATGTACCAGAATTCCCGTCTTGTTTTTTCCACGGTGCGAGCATGTCGGGGACGACGCGAGCCCGGCACCGCGCGGTTTGACGCTGTTGTTGGGCGGCGGCTTAGCCTGTTCTGGCGCATGCCCACAGTTTCCCATTCCCTTTACGACGGTCGAACCGATGTATAAGATCGAGGTCGGTTCAGGGAGGGTACCCTAATGCTCGTCGTGTTTGTTGGATGTTCTTTTGCATCCTGGGGGAGGGTACCCTCGCATGTTGTTCAGTTTGGCTGGTGCAGGGTCTCATGTTCTTGAATGATGTTATTATGGCCGAGGTCTTGCCGTATTCTTGCCTCTCCCTGCTCATGCTGGTATTCGTTTGAAGCTCCCGCGACTTTTCTTGAGCGATCCTGGTCGTGCGTGCCCAGGCGTTGGCGTTTTCTGTTGTCGAGCCGTCGGTCGCGTCCGCATGCGCGCCGCGCTCCAGGCTATTGGTAATGCCTTCGAGGCCCCCTCCCCCAATTTCATGAGAGGGAGACCTAGGATCTCATCCTTGACTGCCCCCCTCTCCCATGCAGGAGAAGAATGGCGAGGAAGAGGAGGAGGAGGAGGAGGAGGAGGAGAGCGAACAGGAAGCCCAATCCCTCCCTTCCCCATCCTTCCCCATCAGGAGGAGGCTTCCCCTCCCGCACTCATCCTGGGGGGGGGTCCTGGGGGATCTGTGGCGTTTCTGGGAGGCTTCTTTGGAATCGTCTGCTGACGCCTTCGGGCCCTATGGGGCCGTCGTCGAACGTCCCTGGAGACTCTCTGCTGGGCCGCGGAGACCGCCGGGTGATGGAGGCGGCCGCAGTGGGGGTCGTTCCGAGCCGTTCCGAGGCAGCGGCAGTAACGCAGAGTTGCCGCACTCATCCCAGGTGGCGAAGGCAGGAGCGCAGGAAAACAACAGATCGCTGGAGCTGTGATGCGGCAGCCACAAACGTCTAGCGACCATGTGCTTTTCCGCCTCCCCACGTCCAGCGAGCGTGTGTTGTTGGCGCATCCTGCGTCCGGCGGGTGATTTATGCCTTCCCCTCCCCCCCCTCCCCTCTCGCCCCTAACCGAAGCGCGTTTGCAGGAGGACGTGGAGATAGCCGAGGCGGGCCCGGCTGCAGAGGCGCACGCTTCTGCGACCCAGCTATGAGGAGAACGGGGATGGCGATGATGTGTGCTTGATCATGGCGATCATGATGATGCTGATGATGCTGATGATGATTATCATGATGATGATGATCATGATGATGATCATGGCGATGACGATGACGATGGCGATGTCGATGGTGATATTGATGATGATGATCATCATCATGCTGATCATGATGGTGATGCCGATGCTGCTGGTAATAATGATGATGTTGGCGATGATGGTGATGACGATGCTGCGGACCATGTTGATGAGGATTGATGATGCTGCTGATGACGCTGATAATGATGGCCGCGGTGATGACGATGGTTATGATGGTGACGTGACGATGACAATGATGCTGCTGCCGATGACAGTAATGATGATCATGACGACGACGACGACGACGACATTGATGTTGATGATGTTGTTGATGGTGAGGCTGATGGTGATGCTGATGCTGATGATGGTGATGATGCTGATTCTGATGATTATGATGCTGCTGTTGATGCTGCTGATGAGGATGACTGATGATGCTGATGCTGATGCCGATGCTGAGCATGCTGATGCTGGTGATGATGATGCTGATGGTGATGGTGATGATGATGGCGATGATGGTGGTGGTGGAGGTGGTCATGGTGATGGTGATGATGGTGATGGGGATGATTTTGATGATGATGATGATGATGCTGATGGTGGTGATGCTGTGGTAGAGGTCTACGATGTTGAGGATGAGGAGGGGATGAGGATGCGGATGAGGATGAGGATGGGGATGAGGATGAGGATGAGGACGGGGATGAGGATGAGGATGGTGATGAGGATGGTGAGGAGGAGCAGGAGGGGGAACATGATGTGGATGAGGATCATGATTAGGCTAAGGAGGAGGATGAGGATGAGGATGAGGATTATGAGGTTGCTGCTGCTGATGATGATGTTTCCCATTCTGATGATGATGACGATGACGATGGCGATGACGATGACGATGACGATGATGATGATGATGATGATGATGATGATGATGGTGGTGGTGATGATGATGATGCTGATGCTGATGCTGATGCTTATGATGATGATGATGATGATGATGATGATGATGATGATGATGATGATGATGATGATGATGATGATGATGATGAAGGGGAAGAGAACGAGGAAGAGGAACACTATGCTCATATGTTGCTGCGGATGGGCGAGTTGGAGGAGCAGAGGAGGCAAAGGCGGAAAGGGGGAGAAAGGGTGCATCAGGAGGGGGAGAGGGGGTACGAGGCGGAAGAGAAATAAGGACATTTGGGTGGAGGAGGGGGAGGAAGAAGGATGAGAAGCGACAGGAGGATGACGAGGATTGCTAGAGGACGGGGAAGCCGACGCCCCCTTCCGCCGCGCTGCCGCGGGCTGGCTCGAGAGGAGCCTGGTATCCGCTCAGAGGCCCCCCCTCGGCCTTGCCGGTCCTGTCCTGGGAAGGGGCGGGAGATCGCGGGGACCAGGGGGAGGGAGAAGGAGGAAGGCGGCGGCCAGAGGAGGAGCAGGTACCGATACCGCTACCCTTGTCTCGTTTTCGCGGTTTGGGGCCTCGTGGGAGGCACCCGTCGCCACTGCTGGATTCGCTTGGAAATTATTGTCAGAATGCACCCCAGGAGAGGTCCAGGGAGTAGCAGTACTGGTATCCGGCATCGTTTGTTTACCCCAGGCAGATGGGGATTGAAGTGGAGTGAGATGGGGATGGGGACGTGTGGATGGGGATTGAAGTCGAGTGAGGTGGGGGGAGGGACGATGGGGGGATACCCCAAGACAAGGACGATGGGGATTGAAGTCGAGCGAGATGGGGGGAGGGAGTGGACTGGGGAGTGAGGGCGAGGGGGATGAGGACGTGTGGAGGGTGAGGTAGGGATTGAGGGGTTGAGGTGGGCAGAAGTGTGGGCGGGGCCCGTGCAGATCCGTTTCCTCATAGCCTCCATGTTGCACCATCAGGCTTATCGGTAGGGCGGGCTGGGCGTTTCACTTGAGATCGCCTCACGATGTGTAACCCTGAAGCTTAAAGCTCTGACAGCTGCAGGGATGGAGGGCGGAACCTGTCCAACATTGGCTTATGGGCGGAACCTGTCCAACATTGGCTTATCGCCGTAGCACCGAGCAGGTTCGGCGTAAGATGATGCAGCAGTCACAAGGATGGAGGACGGTACCTTCTCAAACTGGGATTGGCATGAGCGCCGCAAACGTTCGTCTTATGCTTGGCATCGCTTGGACGTGTGCGTTTTTTCCTGGCAGGGACCATCGAGGATCATTTGGGATTTTCTTGCGGAAAAAATGCACGCACGAAACTGAAGAATGCACGGGGAATGGACGTCCGAGCGATGGCGAGTATATGGTTGCAGCAGTTTCAAGGGTGGAGGGCGGATCGTTTTCAAATTGGGGCTCTCGCATCAGCGCCGCGCAAATCCTCCAACCACCTGAGGGGAATGCATGGTTTTGCCTCTTGGGGCCCTCTTTAGGAGGCCTCTTGGGGCATCTCCGAAGCCTCTTGGGCCATCTTGGGCGTCTCGGAACAATCTTTCGGCGGCTCGGGGGTCTCTTGGACTATCTTAGGGGCCTCTTGGGGCCCTCTTGGCCCGTCTTGGGGCCATCTTGGGCCCGAACAAGTTACGTGACAAGGTGAGGGGGAGCCCAGGGGGCACTCGGGAAGCCACGGGAGATTTGAGAATGTGGGGTCCGGGTCCCTTGAAAACTCTTCAGGGGTGAGGATTGAGGCTTCGAGGATTGGGCAAAGGACCTGAGGACACGCCCGCTTTGTGCCCAGCGGCAGGGTGGCGAGTTTTGAAAGCGTACAGCAGTCACAGGTGGCCCAGTTCAAGCCAGGGCTCTCGCTGGACACCTCGTGGAAGTCTGGGCCCTCCCCGATCGATGTGTCTGCAACTCGCTAGGATAATGCGAGGGCATATTATGTTCAAAGCCAGGCTCTCGAATGGGCGGCAGGCTCACAGGGCTCTTGTGTCTCATGGGGGCACCTCTTGTAGTGGCACGGAAGGCTTGTAGTAAAGACGAGTGGTCGTGGACGGGACGGTCGATCGCAGTATTGTTGATGCATTCTGGTCGTGGTTCATTATTACCCATCCGTCCTTTGTTTTGTTGCCTCTTATGCACACTCCTGCTTCCCTTCTTCCCTCGTCATCATCCCGCATACTCCCTCCTCCCTTTTCCTTCGCATCTTCTCCTGCTCTTCCATGTCGTTCTTGCCCTCGCTGGTTCCCCCCTCCTCCCTCCCTCCTCCTCCTCCTCCTCCTCCTCCTCCTCCTCCTCCTCCTCCTCCTCCTCCTCCTCCTCCTCCTCCTCCTCCTCCTCCTCCTCCTCCGTCCTTCCCCCGCCGTCGCCCCCGTCGCGGCCCCGCCATCGTCGTAGTCGCCCCCTTCGTCGGCGCCGTGTTCGCAGTCGCCCTCGTCGCCGCGGTCGTCGCCCTGGTCGTCACGGACGTCGTCGCCCTCGGCGTCGCGGTCGTCGTCGCCCTCGTCGTCGCGGTCGTCGTCGCCTTCGTCCTCGTCTGGTGCGGT